GCGTGGGTACTGTTGAGTTAGGAAACACAAGTCATCAAAGGCCTGCTGACAAACTTGTCCATAATATCCAGAAACTATCCATGAGCACACTGTGGCCATACAGTGGAATATTATTTAGCCACAAAAAGGAATGAAAGACTGATATGTGGGTATGGTGTGGATGAGCCTTGAAAACATTATGCTAGGTGAACGAAAGCCTTACACAAAAGAGTGTATACTTAGGATTTCATTTTATGGAATTCCAGAAAAGACAGATTTAATCTATATCAGCAAACTGACAGAGAAGTGGTTAACCAGAGCCAGGACAGGAGAGGATTAATGGGGATGGAACACAAACTCTCAGAGTTGTAGAAATGTTCTCTCTCTTGAATGTGGGAGTTGTACAGCATATGAATTTATCAGAACTTACTGAATGTAGGATTAAGATGGGTCCATTTCATTGTAAACTGTATTTTTTGGCCAGTGCTGTGATGCAGTGGGTTAAGATACTGCCTGCAACGCCATCATCCCATATGGGCGCTGGGTCGAGTCCTGGCTCTGCTTCCCACCCAGCTGCCTGCTGATGCACCTGGGAAAGCACTGGCGGATGGCCCACGCCTGGGGAGACCTCGATGAAGTCCTGGCGCCCGGCTTCAGCATGGCTGGGCCCTGGCCGTTATAGCCACTGGGGGAGTGAACCAGCAGATGGAAGATCTCTCTGTCTCCCTCTTTATAGCTCTGCCTTTCAAATAAATAAAATATATCTTTAAAAAAAACCCTACATTTCAGAATTTAAAAAAACCCTGAAAGCAGCCCGGTGCGTTGAGCTGTGCCTTGGTTTCCCTCTGCCTGCCTGCCTGCCCACCTGCTGACTCGCCCAGGACCTTCCTGCATTCCTGTCTTCCTGTCGGTGCCCTCTCCCCGGTTAGCAGAACCTCTTCCTGGTCGAGGTGTTGCTGCTTGTCTTCAGGTGCGCGGTGGGAGCTTGCTGTCGAGGCTGGTCGGGTTTCAGTACCAAAGAGTAAGAGCTTCCCACGGAAGTGCGGCAGTTCTGCAACAAAACAAGAAAAAAAGTGTGCAGTGCATCGAGCTTCATAGGAAGATGTGAGAAACGTATGTTGGTGAACTTCCAGCCTTTTGGGTAGGGGATTTGCCTGCTGTGACGTTCCTGTCCCTTCAGAAACCTCGGCTCTAGACTCCTGTTGTCCTCGTGGGAGCTGCGCGAGGCGTCTGCGCTGTGGTGGACGGAGCTGTGGCTGCGTCCGAGCAGGTTCGCACCCGGCATTCACAGCTGATTGGTGTGAAGCCCAGCTTTCACCTTCAGACTCCCCTCCTTTGCTTCATGTAATCATCCCGTTCCTTCTTCCTTTACCGGGAGGACAGTGGTAGGTGAACACAACCTGGGGACATTCTCAAGCAGGGGTCGGGCGTGCCTGGGGTCCACTCCTGACCCCAGGCTCTGACTCCAGCTTCCTGCGGTGTAGACCCTGGGAGGCAGCAGTGATGGCTTAAACGGCTGGGTTCCTCCCACTCACGGGGGAGACCTGGGGTGAGCTCCCAGCTCCCAGCTCTGACGTTGCACGCATTTGGGAGTGAACCACTGGGTGGAAGATCTGTCTACCTGTTTGTCTCTTAAAAAGAAAAAAGACAACTCAGCAATACGTAAGGTATAACGTGAACATTCCCCTGACACTCTCCAGTCCTCTCCCCTCCCCCATGGTGCAGAGTGAGCACAGACACACACAGCCTCCCCCACCGTGCAGAGTGTGACACACACACACAACACACACACAGCCTCCCCCACGGTGCAGAGTGTGACACACACACACAGCCTCCCCACAGTGCAGAGTGTGACACACACACACAGCCTGCCCCACGGTGAATGTGACACACACACACACACAGCCTCCCCACAGTGCAGGGTGTGACACACACACAGCCTCCCCACAGTGCAGGGTGTGACACACACACACAGCCTCCCCACAGTGCAGAGTGTGAACACACACACAGCCTCCCCACAGTGCAGGGTGTGACACACACACAGCCTCCCCACAGTGCAGAGTGTGAACACACACACAGCCTCCCCACAGTGCAGGGTGTGACACACACACAGCCTCCCCACAGTGCAGGGTGTGACACACAGCCTCCCCACAGTGCAGGGTGTGACACACACACAGACACAGCCTCCCCACAGTGCAGGGTGTGACACACACACAGACACAGCCTCCCCACAGTGCAGGGTGTGACACACACACACAGCCTCCCCACAGTGCAGGGTGTGACACACACACACACAGCCTCCCCACGGTGCAGTGTGACACACACACACAGCCTCCCCACAGTGCAGGGTGACACACACACACACGCAGACACAGGCACACTTTGCATAATGGGGATCCTGCAGCAGCTCAGCTTGTGCTTTTCCTGTAACACCACGTCCTGGGGTTTTCCCCGGCTGCACCTACTGGTCTGTTTCACACTGTTACAGGCTCTGTTGTGTTCTGTAGAATGAGTAGCAGTGTTTTTTTTTTTTTTTAATTTAAAAAAATTTTTTTTTTTTTAGCTAAAACCACTAAGTGGACATATACTCTATTTTCTGTTTGTCACTGTCAGTCAAAAAGTGAATTTAGACTAATGTAAATAATTTGTTTTTGAAGTTTGCAGTTTCTTATTCAGTTATATAATTATTTGTACTACATTTTATTTATTTATTTATTTTTTTGACAGGCAGAGTGGACAGTGAGAGAGAGAGAGACAGAGAGAAAGGTCTTCCTTTGCCGTTGGTTCACCCTCCAATGGCCGCCGCGGCCAGTGCACCGCGCTGATCCAATGGCAGGAGCCAGGTGCTTCTCCTGGTCTTCCATGGGGTGCAGGGCCTAAGCACTTGGGCCATCCTCCACTGCACTCCCTGGCCACAGCAGAGAGCTGGCCTGGAAGAGGGGCAACCGGGACAGAATCTGGCACCCCGACCAGGACTAGAACCCGGTGTGCCGGCGCTGCAAGGCGGAGGATTAGCCTAGTGAGCCGCGGTGCAGGCCTGTACTACATTTTAAACAAAATACATAGTATTGAGACAGCACTGTGTTTGGGGAGGAGGTTGGCTGTGAATCCCTGTGGTCGTGAGCTCTGTCGCCCTTGCCCCGTCAGGGCTGTCAGGTGTGGGCATGCACTGCAGAGGCCCAGGGGCGTCCCACGGCCTGGACCTGAGTCCCACCAAGAAGCCTTGCTCCTGGAGGCTGCAGCCCAGAGCTAGCGTTGGCAGCTGTGCTGGGAGCACTAGGGCAGCCCTGTCCCGTGGACTCGGGGGAGTGTCTTCCTTCTCTCAGTCTGAAATGCTGTTGGTGCGCTCTGCTGTGGGGCTTCCTGCTAGCCTCTGCCGGTGTCCGGCTGTTGCTGGTTCATCACACTCAGAGTGCTGGAAACAAAGCAGCAGCCGGCTTCTCAGGTTGTCTTGCGGCGTTCCCGTGGAGACCGTGGATGGGGGATTCTGAAGGCTAAGCAGAGTTCGGAGCTAACTTCAGGCACGGGGGTTGAGTGGCTCGGAAGCCCACGTGATAGAATGCATTTCCTCACTCAGCATTCTGGCGGATAGTGGGGGTGTGGGAGGCTGACATTCGCTGTAACCGCAGCAGAAGGGCCGGAGCTGCCTTCCTGTTGGGTCTGGCTGCTTGCTGAGTTATGAAACAGTCTCACCCCGTTTCCTGTCCCGCAGCCGACCTCGGCGTCAACCTCCCGCCCCTCCTCCCCTTCTTCTCTGGGCTCTGGTCTGCCTTTGCAGTCTGTGCACCTGCCGCAGGAAGGTGTCCCTGCTTCTCTGAGGTTTAGGTGTCTGGCTTTAAGCAACAGAGGCAGCCTGTCACCTCTGAGCGTTATCCTTCTGATTTATTCTGATTAGGTGGATTTTCAAAAAAACTTTTCCTCTATTTAAGAATGGTCTTGGCAAGAAGTTGGAAATCCCAGAAGCCCATTGCAAAGGAGGGAAGACGTCTGCGTGGGGGCAGGGAGAGCCTCTGTCGTCCTTGGCGTGTGGTTAGACAGCAAGGCAAGGCGCCAGGGGTAAGGTGGAGGGGCCCAGCGAACGCGGGGGCCTGGGCCCTTGATTCTGGCCACTGACTCCTCTGTCTCATGTCAGTCAATAGAAATCAAGTTTCCTGTGTGTCTGAGTGACACTGTGTGACAGAAGGGTCCCAGGGCCCACCGGGAAGGTGTTGTTAATTATGTAGCATCGCCTGTTGCCTGTCTTAAATGCGACAGATCCTGGAAGGGCTGCCTTGCGTGGGTCTGGGAGTTCGGCTCCACCAGACCTCAGAGCGGCAAACAAAACCGAGGAGCATCTCTGTCCTCGTAAGCTTAGGTGCTAACTGAGGACAATTTCGAGGCTGATTCTAAGACGATGCAGTCTGTAGTGTATTAGTGACAAATACTGGGCGGGAAAGTAAACAAGACAGGAAGTTTCGCGCTGGGCTGTGGCTTCATTGTTATTGTAACTGGCTTCCTTTTAGAAAGGGCACATATGAAGGGGGGAGCATTTGGCCTGGGGTGGGCCACGCCACTTGGGACGCCCTCCGTCCATCATCCGAGTGCCTGGTTAGAGTCCCGGCTCTGGGTCTGCTCCGGATCCAGCATCCGGCTGATCCACACCCTGGAGGCAGCTGGATGCTCAAGTCCGTGGGTCTCCACCGCCCACATGGGAGACCCACATGAAGCGCTGGAATCCTGGCTTTGGCCTGGCCCAGCCCCAACTATGCTGGGCATTAGGGAGTGAGCCAGAGGGTGGGAGATCTCTGTCTCTCGTTTCTCTTTGCCTTTTAAATATGTTGGAAAAAACTATCATTTTATGTGTTTGAAAACATTTTTGAGTAGGATTCCAGACAAAGAGACCCCAGCATAGAAGAGATAGAAGAGGGGGCGGGCGCTAGGGTGTACTGGGGAAAGCCACTACCTGCAGTGCTGGCATCCCGTATGGGCGCCGGTTCTAGTCCCAGCTGCTTCACTTCCGATCCAGCTCCCTCCCAATGCACCTGGGAAAGCAGCGGAGGATGGCCCAAGTGCTTGGACCCCTGCACCCTTGTGGGAGACCCAGATGAAGCTTCTGGATCCTGGCTTTGGATTGGCCTGGCTCTGGCCTTTGCGGCCATTTGGGGAGTAAACCAGTGGATGGAAGATCTCTCTCTCTCTCTCTCTCTCTGTCTCTTTCTCTAACTTTGCCTTTCAAATAAATAAATAAAATCTTTTTAAAAAAGAAGAGATAGAAGAGGATCATCCCTCCAGCCCTCTCCATGATTAAAAGATATTTCTCTCCTCTTTTATGCTTCACGTGGTAATAGTGTGGTAGACTTTCCCACACAGAGTTTCATATTGTATCCAGTACTCTTTTTTTGGGGTTTTCTCTAAATTATATGAAGCCATCATTCACTTTGAAGGCTGGCGTTTGTGGGGGACACTTTTTGCATGTTTGTTCTGCAGAACCCCAGGGTACCCTGTCGCCGTTTTGGAGATTCTGTGGTCTTTCTAAATTTGTGTTCAGAGCGTTCCTGCTGAGTTAGTGTAAACAAGATAATCAGATGCCTGGCCTTGAGGAGGGTATAAGTAGAGAGAACAGACTGAGGGGTGGTGCGTGTTTATGGATGAACAGTGTAGATTGTAAACAGATGCAGGAAGTGGGTGAGCCCCTGCTTTAACCCCTTCCCTGCGTGCCACCGAACCGGCCATCAGGACCCTGAGCTGACGCCTGGTGTCTGCATAGAGCTAAGAATCCTGAGTTGATGTGCTTTTATTTTCCTTGTCAAATAATTTTTAAACTATTTAAAATTTTTATTTATTTCCTTTTTTAATTATTTATTTATTTGACAGAGTTAGACAGAAAGGTCTTCCTTTTTTTTTTTTTTGACAGGCAGAGTGGACAGTGAGAGAGAGAGACAGAGAGAAAGGTCTTCCTTTGCCGTTGGTTCACCCTCCAATGGCCGCCACGGCCGGCACACTACGGCTGGCGCACCGCGCTGATCCGGAGCCGGGAACCAGGTGCTGCTCCTGGTCTCCCATGGGGTGCAGGGCCCAAGCACTTGGGCCATCCTCCACTGTACTCCCTGGCCACAGCAGAGAGCTGGCCTGGAAGAGGAGCAACCGGGACAGAACCCGGCGTCCATATGGGATGCCGGCGCCACAGGCGGAGGATTAACCAAGTGAGCCGCGGCGCCGGCTCCTTTATTTTCATTTTATTTGAAAGACAGATGCAAAGAGACACAGAGGGATCTCCCGTCTGCTGGTCCACACCCCAAATGCCACAGCAGCCAGGGCTGAGCCAGGCTGATACGGAGTCCAGAATTCCTCTGGGTCTCCCCACGGAAGGCAGAGACGCGCATGCTTGAGCCATCATCTGCTGCCTCTCGGCGTACGCACTAGCAGGAAGCTGGATTGGGAGTGGAACAGCCAGGATACAGGCATCCCAAGTGGTGCCAAACCCCGTCCCTCAAGTGCTCTTTTCTTTCTTCCTTCCTCCCTCCCCTCCCTCCGGAGATGCTGGATCCCTTGTGGGTAAGGTACCAGTAAAAGGGTCTCCACGCGAGCTGTTCCTTCACGTGGCCTCGAGGCTGGAGCGGCTGCGCGGCCTTCATGACATGGAGGTTGGGCACGTTCTTGTCCGCCAGCTCTGGGTGCCCAGGCAGGTGTACATCCTTTTTAGCTACCGTCACCCTCTTCTTAAAGAGGAGTTCATAAATGGCAAGACGATTCTTCCTTTTTTTTTTTTTGACAGGCAGAGTGGACAGTGAGAGAGAGAGAGACAGAGAGAAAGGTCTTCCTTTGCCGTTGGTTCACCCTCCAATGGCCGCTGCGGCTGGCGCACCGCGCTGATCTGAAGCCAGGAGCCAGGTGCTTCCTTCTGGTCTCCCATGGGGTGCAGGGCCCAAGCACTTGGGCCATCCTCCACTGCACTCCCGGGCCATAGCAGAGAGCTGGCCTGGAAGAGGGGCAACCGGGACAGAATCCGGCGCCCTGACCAGGACTAGAACCTGGTGTGCCGGCGCCGCAAGGCGGAGGATTAGCCTAGTGAGCCGCGGTGCTGGCCATCGTGCCCTCATTTTCCTTGGCTGTCTCCTGACTCGATAGTATGTCTTTGATTTAATGTAGGGCCAAACTCTCTGGCCCACTCCCTGTTTTGTGTAGCCCATAAGGCATACCTTTCTAAGTGGTTTAAAAAGGTCCAAAGAATAATAATATTTGGTGACAAGTGAAACTTACTTGAAATTCAAGTTTATTTGTCCATGAAGTATTGGAATGCAGCAGCCACACACACGTTTGTGCATGGTCTGTGGCTGCCTTCTCCCAAGGGAAAGCAGTCAAGCCGTTGACCCCAAGATCTGATGGTCTAAATATTTTGGCCGTTAGTAGAAAGTTTGTGGATTCCTGCTTTAATGCTTTCAATTCCTTACTGAAATGCAGGAGGCCAAAAAGTGATTGTGGTCAAAAGGCCTGCATGCAGTCTGTTGTGTGTAGTTAGCTGGTGGCAAGTGACACACAGGCCGTGTGACGCTTCTCTCCTCGCTAACGTGCAGCGCGAGCACACAGCACGGCGGCAGGCATTCAACTCTGCCTTGTTTTGTTTGATTTGAAGATAGTGTCGAGGAGTGTTTTAATGTTTCTCAAAAAAGAGTATCTGGTACGAGCCAAGATGATTCCGGAATGTGTTTGGCAGGAGAGTAGGAGACACAAGGTCCTCCAGGCCTGGGGACTGTGAGCGGTGAAGGACACAGGCCCTCCTGAGCCTCCCTGCAGGTGTCTGTAGCTGGCGGCGCTGACCGGGGACGGCGCTCGACCCCCCCAGGTAGCTGTCAGCTCAGCAGACGGCTGCAGGTGCGCGGGGCGGGCTGTGTGTCGGTCCCGGCCCTGCCACTTTGCCCCAGTGACCTTGTGCAGCTCATCTGAGTGCTTGGGGTGTTGTCAGCGCATCTGAAAGTGTGGCTATAAAAATGACCTCATAAGAGTGAAATGAGATCATGTTCTTAAAACTCTTGGCACTAATAGGCATTTAATGTAATATAACTGAAAATTATTGTTTGTGAACTTACTGTATATCATAAGGCATCTTAAAAAGCAAAGATCTCCCCATTGTTTTAATGAGTGATTAATAATAGTCCTTTGGGGGCCAGCACCTGTGGCTCAGCAGGTTAATGTCCTGGCCTGAAGCGCAGGCATCCCATATGGGTGCCAGTTCGAGTCCCTGCTGCTCCTCTTCTGATCCAGCTCTCTGCTGTGGCCTGGGAAAGCAGTAGAAGATGGCCCAAGTCCTTGGCCCCCTGCACCCGCTTGGGAGACCCAGAAGAAGCTCCTGGCTCCTGGCTTCAGATTGGCTCTGGCCGTTGCGGCCAATTGGGGAGTGAACCATCGGATGGAAGACCTCTCTCTCTCTGCCTCTCCTCTCTCTGTGTAACTCTGATTTTCAAATAAATAAATCTTTAAAAATAATAGTCCTTTGGAGTGGGTGTTGTGTTGTAGCAGGTTAAACGTCCGTTTGGGATGTCTGCATCTCCCATTGGAGTGCCGTTTCAAGTCCTGGCCACTCTACCCCCCCCCCCTTTTTTTTTTGACAGGCAGAGTGGACAGTGAGAGAGAGAGACAGAGAGAAAGGTCTTCCTTTGCCGTTGGTTCACCCTCCAGTGGCTGCGGCGGTGATGCGCTGCGGCTGACGCACCACATTGATCTGAAGCCAGGAGCCAGGTGCTTCTCCTGGTCTCCCATGGGGTGCAGGGCCCAAGCACCTGGGCCATCCTCCACTGCACTCCCTGGCCACAGCAGAGAGCTGGCCTGGAAGAGGGGCAACCGGGACAGAATCCGGCGCCCCGACCGGGACTAGAACTGGGTATGCCGGCGCCGCAGGCAGAGGATTAGCCTAGTGAGCCGCGGCGCCGGCCCACTCTGCTTCTGATCCAGCTCCCTGCTGATGTGCCTGGAAAGGCAGCAGAGGATGGCCTAATGCCGAGTCCCTGCCAGCCACCCATGGGAGACCCAGACGCAATTCTGGGCTCCTGGCTTCGGCCTGGCCCAGCCCCAGCTGTTTGGGCCTCTGGGAAGCAAACCATTGGATGGAAGCTCCGCTCCGCCTTTAAAATAAACGTTTTTAAGAACATTAGGACAGCCATTCTATTTTTTTTTAAATGGCCCGTCAGTTGTGATTTAGTTCATTTATGTATTTGCTGGTAACTGGCTTCCTAAACAGTACTTTGAACTGATATCCACTCTAGCTGGTAAGTTCTAGCTCATGTTTTAATTTGAATTAGCATGTGGATCCTAAGTCTGGCTTTGCAAGCACATTCGTCATTTTGCTGTGCTGCGAGCAGGTGTCACAGGGAAGAGCGTCACGCGTTACCTCATCTTCCCTCTGTGCTGACTGCTGTCTTCCTGTCTCCCCGTTCAGTGACTGAGTTGTGTTTGGGTAATTGCAGTTCTCCACTGGCAGGTTCAAGTCCATTGGAAGCATAGTTTTGATGAGAAGGCAGACTAAGAAGTTCTGTTTGCTGAACACAGTTTCTGGTGGTTTAAAGGAAACATGCTTACAGACAATACTGGATCATTAGAACACAGTAATTTTTATTTTTGAGTAATTTTCTTTGATACCCTTTATACCAGTGTATTGAATACCAATTCTATATTTTATGAATTTTAAGCAAATTCAATTTATGAAATATTAGTGTGTATGATTTACTGGATGAAAAATGACATGGGGTTCCTAAAATAGCCAGCTTTCCTGATAGAACCAACATAATACTGCATTCCATGCACCTGTCCAGGGTCGTGTCCACGCATCGCAGGCTGGGCACTGTGTTAGAGGGTGGGCTTTGCAGCCTGCAGTTCAGAGCACGGCTGTGCTACGTACACACTAGGTGTGTGCTCTGGGCCTGCCCGTGTCTCGTGGGGATAATGACAGGGTCGCTGTGAAGTTGTTGGCCTGGTGCTGCGGCACAGGAAGTGCTCCCTTGTGTCCGTTGCTGGGGGCTTAGACGGCCATGCAGGGCGTCACTTTCTGTGGATGTGGGATTGAACCTTCCCGTCTGCCCAGTT